TGGCTGGGGTGGGCTTAGCCAGGGGTGACTTCGAAGGATGGGCAGCACACTGGTTTCCAAGCTGCGCTCAGCCTGGTGTTCTTGGTCCCCAGGGCACATTTGTGGAACCTGAGTAAGGTCAGAAAACCTGGCCCGTCTCAGCCGGGTCCCATGAAGAAGAAACCAAAGTCAGATCCAAGTTCACCCCCACAAGTACCCTTGAAAAGGACGGTAGGTCTTTCCTAAACTTGTCCCACGAGGACCCAAAAGGCAGTTGTGTTTAGAAAAAGGGAGATGTGTCTTAAACACACTTTGCTCTCGCTGTTTCAAAGCCCCAGCCTCCTGCACAGTCCCTCTGCGCCCCCCGCCCCCAGCCCCAAACGTGTGAAGCCGCCGCGTGTGGGAGCTGGGACACCAAGCCGTCCTGCGATGCGGCCGATGACCGCCGCCAGGCCACCCCTTCCGAGCGCATACGTTATGGGAGGGCTGGACGGGCTGCTGAAGTCACGCAGCTGGAGAGGGGGCCAGCTGGATCCCAGCAAGTCTGAGTCTGACACCGGGGCTCCGCCATGGCCCCCAGCGGCCTTCGCTCCTGGGAAGGGATGTCCCAGCAGCTGTGACACGGCAGCGAGGTCCCAGCTGTAGCGGGTTGTCATTGTTTCTATGAGTGCATTACATGATCTTCCCCAGTTAGATAAGGCCTGGGGAGTGCGTTCACACTCACACACTCACACATACACACCACACACACACTCATAGTCTCACTCAGGCTTACACATATACCACACACACACACACACACCACACACTCACACTTATACCACTCAAACTTACACTCACACACACACCACACATACTCACATATACATACTCATATCCACACAAACACACTCACATACCCCCAAACTGAGATCACCTCACTTCCCCATTTTGTAATCTGCCTTTCCCAATGAACTCTATGGCGAGAGAAAAATGCCCATGTACTTAGTTGTAGGAAACCGGTTCCTGTCATCTGGATTTCATCTTGCTGGACGGTCCCCCCCTGTGGCATGAGCATGTGTCTGCTCACCCGCTGTGTAAGTGCCCGGTGCCGCTCATGCCCGCAAGTCCATTGTCCAGCGCCCACTGTGCCCGTGGGGTAACGTCCCAGGAGGGAAGCTCCGGCCACACACTCAGACTGTGGTCCACGTTTCCGGTCTGTCCTCCGAAGGCGGCTCTGATTCTCATTTTTCATGAAGAAGAGGTGTCATCCCAGCGGCTCATCTTGGGGTTTTCTCGGGAAGGAATGGGCCCAGCCTCTGCTCACTCTCGCCCGCCGTCCCAGCTCCCCAGCGCCCCGGCCGCACCCTCCCAGCTGGTCCCCGCAGGGATGTCCTTTGTCTTGGCCGGAGGGTGCCCCGTCTCCAGAACAGTCCCACCCTCCAGTTCATGAGCAGGAGCAGCTTTGGGAACAACATGTACTTGGCCAGTTCCGCCCCCAAGTCCTTCTCCCTGCTCCTTTGTTGGATTCTGTGACTTCTAACGGATTTTTTCCTGGGGATTTCCAGGACAAAGCTCTGGGGAAGGGGCATTTCCCAGCTCGGGACACGTATAAAGCCGGTCAATCTCATTTCTCAGCTGAAAGCTGTCATCAGCTCCCCCAGCCAGCCCAGCGGATCCCAGCTGTCCCTGCAGGCCTGTCCCTGGACTGTGAGTGAGGCCGCGGAGGGATGGCTGCTTCCACCAGCCCCCGGTCCCTCCTGCTCGGGCGGGCACTCGGGGTGGCAGAAGCTTCACCCCGTTGAAAAGGGCTGAGGTCTGGGAGGGTGATTGTTTGTGCCCGTTCTGATCCATCACTGCCCCTTTTACTCTCCCGGGAGCCCTGGGGCAGACTGCGCAGGTGGGTCACCCTGGGCCTGAGCAGTGCCCCTAGTGGTGAGGGCCTGCAGCTCCTGCCCCTCTCCCCACCGCCGCCTCGGCTTTATTTATTTATTTATTTTTTATCCTCACCTGAGGACATTTTTCCATTTTTTGTTCAGGTAGAGTGGGAGGGAGAGAGAGAAACAGAGAGAGAGAGAGAAACATCGATGTGAAAGGAACACATCGAGTGGCTGCCACCCGCACAACCGACCAGGGCCAGGGACAAACTGCAGCCGAGGTACATGCCCTTAGCGGGAACCGAACCCGGGTCTCTCAGGACCGCAGGCCGACGCTCTAACCGCTGAGCCACACCGGTCAGGGCGCCGCCTCGGCTTTAAAAGGTGAACCTGGGCCCGGCCGGTGTGGCTCAGTGGTTGAGCGTCGACCCTGCACCAAGAGGTTACCGGTTCGATTCCCGGTCAGGGCACATGCCCAGGTCGTGGGCCAAATCCCCAGTGTTAGGCATGCAGGAGGCGGTCAACTGATGTTCTCTCTCATCGATGTTTCTCTCTCTCTCTCCACTCCCTTCCTCTCTCTATTATTATTTTTTTTGGTACGTTCCCCTAGCGGGAACCGAACCCGGGACTCTCTGGTCCACAGGCCAACACTCCAACCACTGAGCCAAACCAGCCAGGGCCCTTCCTCTCTCTCTCTCTCTAAAATCAATAAAAAAAAACAAAAATGGTGACCCTGATATTCGAGGGAACAGTGGCCCGCCCCCCAGCACGGGGACAAGGCGTTTGTCACAGGAGCTCCGAGGACACCTTTCCCGGCGGCAGCTTTGGCGGCAGGCTACTAGCAGTTCCCAGCACGGCCCGCCAGGCGGCAAACGGGAGAACCGGGGAGAACCGGGGCGTCCTGGGCTCCTGAGTTTGCCGAGTGGACTGCATCTGCGCACCCTCCCGGACTCCTGTCACCTGGGCGCTCAGAGGAGGCCTTCCTCGGAAATGGGGTCTTTGCAGACGGAACTAGTTAAGCTACGTGAGGGCCCGCTGGGAGGGTGATCCCTCCATCCAGTATGGCTGGTGTCCCTACAGGAAGAGGAGACGCAGGACATACAAAGAACACAGCAAGATCGGTGTGACAAGGACCACAAGCAGAGCCCGCGAGACCGAGGCTGGCAAGGCCAGAGGGGCCTCTGAGGACCTGGCCCGCCAGAGCCGTGGTCTTGGGACTGCCTGCCTCTAGAAACGGAAAGAATAAATTCTGTTGTTTTAAGCTGCCTGGTTTGTGCTACTTTGTTATCAGAGCCCTAGGAAATTAATACTTTGGATTATCTTAGAAAGTTGTTTGCTTCTATGTGTATGTTTATTTGTACTAAAATTTCAATCATACTAACAATACCAAAACCACACGTACCACACACACAATGCACCGTGCAAACACACACACAGATACACACCACACACATCTACCCCCCCACACACCCCGTGCACACACACACACCTGAACACACACACCCTGTACACACACACACCCCCACACACCCCATGCACACACACATCCTGCACACACACACCCTGCACACACACACACCCTGTACATACACACACCCCACACACCCCGTGCACACACACCTGAACACACACACTCTGCACACACACACCCTGCACACACACACCCTGCACACACACACCCCACACACACCCCGTGCACACACACACCTGCACACACACCTGCACACACACACACCCTGCACACACACACCCTGCACACACACACCTGCACACACACACCCTGCACACACACACACCTGCACACACACACACCCTGCACACACACACACCCTGCACACACACACACACCCTGCACACACACATACCTGCAGGCTGGTAAGCACATGGAGGGCAGGGCCCTGTCCTTGAAGTGTCGCAGCCCCATACTGGTTCTGGAAGGGCTCGTTGCTCAGCCCTGGGCGAGGCGCTGGGGCCTGCAGACCCGTGGGGGCCCTGACCACCAGTGGGAACCTGGGGCTGCCCTGGGAGTCAGGGGCCAGCGGGGTCCTGGGCGAAAGGACTCACTGAAGTGACCAGAAGCAGCAGCCACAGGAGCAGGACCCGCAGGCTCGGAAGCCAGGGCCTCTGCAGCCGCACCTGCAGCTAATGAAGGGAGGAGTGGTCACCTCGGCCAGGCGGGGCTGTCCCTCCTGTGGCTCCTTTGTCCCCAGGTGCCAGTGGGAGGTCCTCCAGCTGCTGCTCGCTACCTCCTGCTCCTGAAACTTCCCGCATCCCCCAGACTCGGGACACCCAGGCCCAAGCCAGACGCTTCCTCCGCCTGCTTCCGGTCCTGGAGCCCAAATCGTGACTCACCTGTGCTGTCAGCGTCCCGGGAGAAGCGGGGTATCGGGAGACAATGGCCCCGGTTCCTTCCAGCTCTCACGGCTGAGTTTCCAACAGGTGAGGGCAGAGGAAGCTGGGGCCCAACGGGCAGTCGCCGGTCCCCTCCCAGGTCCTGTGGCAAGGACGTGGAAACCCCGGGTTCCCTGAGGCTGTCAGGGCAGTGAGCACACCTGGGCCCTTTCCTGACCTGCGTGGGGTAAGGGACCCTGGTGGCTGTGCCGTGCTAGTGCGGCTGTGACGGCGCTGGGGGCTGTCCCGGGGCAGAGGGAGAGGCTGATGCTGAGGGTGAGAAGGGGCAGGTCCTGGGCCGGACAGTGTGGGAGCTCCCTTCAGGGATCCAGAACCTTCCAGAAGCCTGTCTACACGTGGGGCCTGGGAAGAATCATGAGCGGAGAAGCAGTGCTGGGGAGGGCGGGCAGACGCACAGAGGAAAGAGTGGATGAAACCCTCAGGGGCAGAGTGGAGGTGGGGGCCTGGGCCTGAGGGCTGGGAGGCATCCTTGGGGGTGTGGGGGAGGCTCAGCAAAACTGAGCAAATTTGGCCCCGTCATGTCTGTGAATCACGGTCCTCTGAGCCCGTGGTTCTAGACACTTGCGGGGGGAGGGCTCAGAATCCCGTGGGAGTACCGTCAGGGCACACCGGGCTTCACTGCCCTCGGCCCCAGCGAAGGTCCCTGCAGCAACCCCTGTCCGACCAGGATGGGTTCTGAAGGGTCGGGTGTTTCTCCCTCCCCCTCTACTGTAACCTGCACCCAGAAACACTGACGCTTCCCAAATCCGAGGACATCCTTTTAATCACAAACTCCTCCTCCACAGTCTGGCAAGCGGTGGGAACAGAGCCAAGGGGGTTTGCAGACACATGGGAACACCCCCCAGAAATAACGACAGCTATGTCCTGCTCCCTCCTAGCACCCAGCCCCTTCCTAGGGTGGCTTCCACCTCTAGCAGGGGCTTCCCGGTGAATGCCTGCACCGCCACCACTCTGAAACCCTGTTAGCCGATCTCAGGGAGGAGGAGGGGACTTGAGGCCTGCTCTGCCGCCGGCCCAGGAAGCTGTCACCAGGCCAGGCCCAGAGCTCCCTGGCTTCCCTGCCTGCTCACAGCCTCACCGGGGGGCAGCTCCCGGGCCACAGCCTACACAATGCCCTCTGTGCGCTTGCTTCTCCAGACCACCAGCCCTGTCACGAGCAGGGTCACCAAGATGGGCACCACAATGAAGGGGCAGAGGATGCTGCTGGGCGGGTCCTGCATGGCCCTGCCGGAGACCGGGCAGCTTCTGAAGTAGCGGTGGTGGATGGCGACGAAGAACTGGTCCACCACCGCGTTTGGCCAGAAGCAGTCCAGCTTTTTCATCACTTGCATGGTGCAGTCTGTGAGTTCTCCGTAGCTCCTGCAGGTGAAGAAGCAGGCGGTCAGTCCCTGAGTTGGCAGGGGACTGAGGCAGAACCCGAGCCAGGGGCTCTCCACCCCCTTCCTCGAGCATCTCCTGAGGCCCAGAGCCAGACAGTGGCCCTGAATCTAGGAGTTGAAGGTCTTGGGTGGCTCCTGTGGGGGCTCCCCAGATGTCCTGCACACTCCCAGACCCCAGATGGTGAGCTGGGGATAAGGGACAGCCTTCCTGATCCTGAGACCTAGCAGCTGGGATGCTACACTAAGGGCAGACTAGAGGTGGACCAGCCAAGCATCTTTAGACATCAGCCTGGGGCAACAAGCCCTTGGGTGGGCAAATCCGCAGCCCATTCTGAGGAATAAATGAGTGAGCTTATAAATATGTTGGTAGAAATGACCCGAACTGGAGCACAAGGAGGAAAGAGCTGTGGTAAATTAACAACAGTTTCAAAAATATCAACTCCCACTTGTAACCTGAGTCCCAGAAGGAGAAGAGGGAATGGGGGAGAATAAATAATTGAAGAGATAATGACTGAGAAGTTCCCCCAAATAATAAGACATCAATTCACAAACCCAAGGAGGTCAAAGTACCCCAAACAGAATAAAACATCCCCAAAGCAACAGAAGCAACAAACAGCCACACAGATGTGTCAAAGTCAAACTCTGAAAACCAAAGATAAGAAAAAAATCTTGGAGTCACACCTCCAGGGAACAGGCGTATGAGTTACAGATGACTTCCCATCAGAGACTATGCAAGCCCGAAGACGATGGGGGGCATGGTTAAAGTATTTGTGGCAGTGATGGGGGTTAAAATTGTCTGTCCAGAATCCTATACCCAGCAAAAAATATCTTTCAAATATGAAGTTGAAATATAGACCTTTTCAGATAACAGGAAAAAAAAAAAAAAAAACCTGGGAGAATTCATTGTGCTACAAGAAAAGTGAAAGTCCTTTAGTCAAAAGAATAGAACAGAAAGAATGTTGGACCCACTCGAAGAAACGAAGAGCTCCATAAACAGTAAAAATGAGGATATGTACAGACATTTGTCCTTATTTTTAATCTAGAAAGTGATTAAATGGAGCAGAAGCCATACATCAGTATGGGGGAGACACACAAAGGCTTTCAAAGGCCGCTGGCCCCCAGCCACTGTCTTATGGTCTCTAAATCATTCAGTCACTGTTTTGTCTGGCTGGCTGCTCTCTGGGTCATTGTTCCAAGATCACAGGGCACATGGGGCCGCCCCCAGTGCATGTGAGCAGGCGGAATGCATGAGGCAGGGGAGGGGGAGGCAGAGACAGCAGACGCTGTGCAGGACCCGTGCCTGCTGGGTTTTCCCAAGTAAATGACTCATGCTTCAAGTAGGGAACAGAAGTGGAAGAAGCCACAGAAGTCCTGACAGGCGGGGTCTCACTGTGAGAAAAGAATGAGTCCGGACATGTCGCGTGCCTCACACATGTAGGGGTACCTGTGTCTGTCAGGGCAAAAACCAAAGTCCAGCCCTGGGAGTGGCTGGTGACCGGCCACACAGCGGTGTGTCACAGACTCTGGTCGGAATGACTGTCTTCTCCCCCACAGACCCGCCGAACCCACGGGGAGTGATGTTCTGCAGACCCAGTGACAATCGACCCCAAACGTCGTCCCACATCCTCTGTGCTTGAGGGGTGGGGCTGGGGTGCCCCCAGCAGGAGGTGTTGCTGTCTCTGGATGGGAAGGAGCCCCTGGCTCAGGCCACGCTGGGGTTGAGCCTGGGCTGTGGGGGCTATTCTGGGACCGGGCACCCTCTCCCTGAAATGTGATCCTCCCAGTCTGCCAAGCCATCCCCCTAAAAATAGCTCCGAAGTGCAGCTGGGCCTCTTCATCCTGTTTATTTATACAGCAGTGACAGCTGAAGCAGCCAGTAAATATTGTGAGCTCTGTCAGCAAGCGTGTCTAAAAGGTCTCCTCAGAGGACAGTCCTCCGCTCGGAAGAACAGGACGAAGGGCCCAAAATAATCGTGAAAAACATTCCGCGTCGGTGCTCCCTCCAGTTCTCACGTAACTAAATAGTTCTCCTTTTTTGGCCCGAACTTTCTATCCGGGCCCCTCGGCAAACTGCTGGGAACGTTCTGACCACGACGGTGGGTGCTTCCAGTAGGTCCAGCGACAGGTCACAGCTCTGGCACCATGGCTCACGGTTGCTCACCTTTGACAAGAAGGTGTCCACTGATGCCCACAGGCTCTGGGACCCTCGTGGTTGCTGCTGTCCCCCAACTAGCTCCGGCTAGCCCTTATGTGGAGCATTTGAGCCTGGGTCCTGCCACCCCATGGACCTGGGTTCGAATCCCAGGCCCACCTCTCATCCTGAGTGATGCTGGGAGCGTCATCTTACCTGTCTGAGCTTTGGTCTCCTTACAGCAAACGAAGACACTGGTACCCCCGACAGGGTTACTGGGCACATCAGGCCAAATGGGGTCAAGGGCCGACACACAGCAGGTGGCCAGTAGGTGGCCATTTTCCCACTGCTTCCTCCTGACTACTGCTCTGTGGCCCAAACAGAATACATTTCTTGTTCTATAAACTCGCCAATCAACCAGGCACCGTGTGTCTAAGTCCTCCAAACCGTGCGGGGAAACCACTTTGGAATTCCGGTTCCCTTTATCTGACCACTGTTGACCTCCCTCTACCTGGGACAATTCACAACCTGGTGGCTTCCAGCAGCTTCAGACACCTGTTGGGGGTGGGGCAGGTGGCACCACTTGGTGTCCTGGCAGGAGAACAGGGGAAGGCAAAGGGACCCATTCGAGGCCCCTGGCGTCTGTCAAAATGCCAGACGAATGGAAGATAAGCTGGTAACACTTTTCTGAAGAGCGATTTGGCGATACGTATCAATGACCTCAAAATCACAGATACCCTTGGACCCAGTAATTCTAGTTCCGGAAATGACCCCAGTTAACAGCATAAAATGCAGACAGCGGGAATGTGAGAAGGGGGGTCACTGCAAAGTTGTAATGATGAAAACAGCACCTGCGGGGCCGCCATGAAAGAAAGGGCTTCTAAGAGCCTCCTTGCAGAGAGGCATGGCCACCAGATGGCGCCCCTTCCCAGGGACCTCCTCTCCTTGGTCCCTCCATCCCCAGGGATTCCCTCTCCTTTCCCCCCACTGTCCCCTCCCTCCCAGTCTGCCCCACCCCCAGGACCTCCCTGCCAGCTCTCGAATCTTCTCCCTCCATCAGCAGCCTGTCCATCTGCCCACCAGCTGCTCCCCTACCCTTCCTGCCTGGGGAGGGGCATCCACACTCCTTCCCTCCTCAGCCAGTGACTGCAACAGTGTGACCCCCACAGCTCCACCTGCAGCTTGGTCCTGTCCACATCGGGCTATCAACACACACAGGTTGCCCCCACCCTACCCCATCTCCCAGGGCCTGCCCCGTCCAGGGTGTCCACTCCCCCCCCTGAGGCCCTGTCCCTTTGCCTAGGAGTGGGCAGGAGTGACTCACGGTGGTGGGTCATCACAACCCACACGTCTAACACGTTTCCACTTCCCTGCCCCGTGTGTGGGCCAGGCCTTGGCATCTCTGCACACGTCTCCTTTTCCCCACCCAGCTGGGTCGGGGCAGCCATCACCCCTCCCTTGCTTTCCTTCCCTCTCGTACCTCTCCCTCCACCCCTGAAATGTGCCATTGGCTCTTCCTGCCAGAGCTCTGGCCCTGCCCTCCTCCCACCCCAGCCCACTGTCTACATCTTGTCACCTGGGCCTTGCTCCCCTGTGCGGAATGCACAAGCCCTCATGTGGCCCCCACCCTCAACCAAATCCCCTCCATCTCACTGGCTCCATCTAGCCTCACTGGCCGTTGCTTCTGCCTCAGGGCCTTTGCACATGCTGCACTTTCTATGTGGAAGGCTCCACCTCCACAGGCCAACCTCTGCTCATCCTTCAAACGCTCGAAAAGGCCTCATGTGATACTTCAACCTCATTTGGCTCCCTGGTAAAGTGGGGCTTTGCTCCTCAGACAGGTCTGTCTTAGAACCGGTGCTGCAGTTCGCGTGATTACCCACTCACTGTTGGTCTCTGCAACGCGACTGCAAACACCTTGAGGGCAGGGGCAGTATCAGGTGTAAACAAAGTCCCACCGACCCTGCTCAGAGCCGTCCCCACAAATGCAAAGTGAAATAGAAGCTGGAGGAGAGTAAGCCCGAGGCCTGGCAGACGCCGGAGCAGGAGGGGCATCAGCAGACCGAGCACACCCGCCACGCACAATCTGTGGGACATTCCACTCTGAGAAGTGTCATCACAGCCCACAGGACACAGGCAGCCCACGCCTGTGACATCTGATGGATCGCACCTGTCAAGGTTCAGTAGACAAAGGCTAGTATAAAGGCTGCGGAAAACAAAGTTAGTGACCCTGATCGGAGACTGTGCGGGGGCTGCTGTTCTGCAGAGAACCAGCCACCTCTTCAGAAATCCCAGGGCCCTACTACGTGAAAGCAAAACGGCTTGGTGAAGGCCCAAAGTGGAAAACATAAGTTGATATTCTTTGATTGTATATTAAAAACTAGAAATTAGTAAGAAAACTATATATATGTAGTATATATATGTGTGTATATATATATATAAATACATATACACACATATATTTTTTTATCCTCACCTGAAGACATTTTTTTGTTTTTTGTTCAGATAGAGCAGGAGGGAGAGAGAGAGAGAGAGAGAGAGAGAGAGAGAGAAACATCAACGTTGTTGGGACACATTGGGTGGTTGCCACCCGCACGACCCAACCAGGGCCGGGGACAAACTGCAACCGAGGTACGTGCCCTTAGCGGGAACTGAACCCAGGTCTCTCTGGACCACAGGCCGACGCTCTAACTGCTGAGCCAAACTGGCCAGGGCAGAAAACAATATATTTTTAAAAATTGAATTTATAAACCAATGGACATAGACAACAATGCTAGGAGGTGGGGGGGTGTGGGGGGGAGGAGGGGGGTCTAGTGGGAATAAAGGAGAAACATCTGTAACAAAAATAA